GTGCGCGGCGATCTTCGAGCGGTACGCGCGAGAGACGCGGGCGTCGTCGGAGCCGCCGCCGCCGCCGCCGCCGGCGCCGCCGCTCGCGAAGACGACGACGAGGCTGCCGGACCCGCCGTTGTTATCGCTGGAGGTGGAGTCGAGCCAGGCTGCGCTCGCGGTGCTCCTGCACTTGCACACGCAAGACGGCGAGGAGGAGGAGGAGGAGGAGGCGGCGGCGACGCGAACGCGAGGAGCGCCGCCGCCGTCGGCGTCGCGCGTCGCGGCGTCGGCGTCCTCGGAGCCTCGGCTCGTCGCGCTGACGCACGCGGTCCTGGCGCGGTTCGCGACGCTCGCGGACGGCGCCGAGGAGGGCGCCGAGGAGGGCGCCGAGGAGGGTGCCGAGAGAAACCACGTGGCTTCGTTCGACGCGACGAACCGCGCTGAGCTGGCGGCGTACTCGCCGCTCGCCGTGGACGCGTTGAAGGCGGCGGCGCGGTTTAAAGACGCGGCGTTCCGCGAGAGCCTGGGGCTCTTCTACCCGACGTTCACGCGGATGATCGAGAGCGAGCACTCGCCCGCGGAGGTGTCGAGGACGCTGAGCGACGTCTTCGCGAAGAGAGTCGGGCCGCTGGTGCTCGCGGCGTTGTAGACGAAGGAAGGAAGGGGAAAGGGCGGGCTCGGGCTCGGGCTCGGGTTCGGGTTCTGGTTCGTTCGCTCGTAGTTTTTTTTTTGTTGTCTTGTCTCGTATGATATTGCAATTCAACTCAACGAAAAGAATCGTGCGTATGTGCTAGCTAGCCGTGGTGTCCGCCGTCGTCGCATCGCTATGTTTAATGAACGGCGACGGCGGTCCATTGTGATCGGGCGCCCAGCGAGCGCGGTCTAAACAAACCCGCATCAGCGGCGCGGCCCATGATCGAAAAAAAAATATTACTCAAAAAAATAACCCCGTTCGCTCACGTCGCGTCGCTCGGCGGCGTGAACACGCCGCGAGGGAGGACGTGAAACGATATGAAACACGGTATGCGTATAGTATAGTCGTACAGACAGACATCAGGTACAGCGTCGAGGCGCGTGCGGCGCGGCGGGCTCGGTTAGTAGTGCTCCCTTCTCGCGCGACTGCCAGGGAACGAGTGAGAGGTAAAAAGTCGTCAGTCATGTCTCAGGTGTCACGCAAGTCTGGTCGTTATTTTTGAGAATTGCGCGCACGCGATTGGCCAGTCCCGCCCCGCAGGAAAAGAAAGGGGGCGAAGCGCGCTGGGTTTCCTCGCGCGGTCGCCTCGACGCGCGCCCGCGGGCGCGACGCCGCCCGCGGGAACGATGCCACGACGCGTCGAAGCGCATCGCCGGCATCGCGCCGCGCGGATTCGACGCGCGATCGCGCGTCGAGACGCCGCCGACCGGGAGGAAAAAGCGCCCGCCGGGGAATCGCGAAAAGTAAGGCGAGAAAAGACGCACCCTCGCCAGTTCCTCGTCCCGTTGTACTGAATCTCGATGGGCTCCGCGCTCGAGCTCCGCGGCGGCGCGTCGTCGTCCACGCCGCCTCTCGCGTCGAAATCGATCGCGCTCTCGCTGAACCGCTGTCTCGGCCCGCCGAGGTCCCCGTCCATGCTGTCGTTGCTGAACGCGTCGCTCTCGCCGCTGCGTTTTCCGAGCTCGACGTCGTCGCACGATTTCCGCGGGTCGAGCGAGAGCGACCTCGTGAGCGACGACGACCCCGTCGACGCCGCGGATCCCCAGCTGCTCTCGCGTCGCGCGAGAAAATCATCCACGCGAATCGCCGCCGCGCGTTTGCTAATCGTCGGCGAGCCGCCGAATCCGGGCGCCGTCGCCGCGTCGAAGCCGACCACGCGGAGCTGCGGCAGCGAGTTCACGCGACGGAGTTCCGCTTCAAGGAGCAGACTTTTGCGCTCGGAAGACGCGCGCTCCAGCATCTCTCGAATGAATACCGAATCCCTCTCGCCGGATCCACCCGCGCGCGCGCGCTTCCGACGCCTCCGACGCGCGCGCCCGACGCCCTTCAGACGAGACGTGCGCGCGCGAACTCTCGCCGACTCGGTTCCGACGACGACGCGACGGCGTTCGTGCCGCGCGCGCGTGGAAAGTGTCGAGGCGCGGCGAGACAAATCCGCGCGAGACTTGTAGACGAGCGAGACTGTTAAAGTTTTTTCTCCCCGGTGCGCTTTTTTCAGACTGGAAACGCACTGGGCGAAATGCACTTTCGCTGCAGGTTCGGGAAAAAGCGTCGTGCGCGGTTTTGAGACAAAAAATCTCGCGCGAAGCGAAAACGTAACCCGCGACTCGTGGTCGAGGGTCTAAACGCGGCTCGACTCCGAGAGATGCGAGTCCTGTCCGACCGCTCGTGCCAGCGCGAACGCCGAGGGAGTCAGGGGGGACGCAAACGCGCCGAGGCGGGGGACGGGACGGGGACGTCTCTCGACTCGCGCGCTGCGAGCGGAGATTTGGTTTTCGGGCGAGGGAGCGCGCGCGCGCGTCGCGTCGCGTCAGTGTTGGCCCGCGCGGTGGCTCGGAGCGGACGCGCGCGCGCGGACGCGTGACCTTCGTGGGCGGAGCGTCGTCGGAGCGTCGTCGGAGCGTCGTCGGAGCGTCGTCGGGGCGCGCGGACGCTCGCGGCGCGTCGAAGGGATCGATCGACTCGACCGAACGCGGGGGAGAAGGATCTGATGACGGGGCGGAGCGTGATCAACTTCGGACGCATCGTCGCGAAGCGCGTGAAGAACAACCTGTTCGGGGGGAAGAACGTCAACACCGGGAACATGATCTCCGAGGACGGCGGGAACAAGTGCGCGACGACGCGCGCGCGTCCCGCGTCGACCCCGTCGCACGATCCGATCCTAAACCCCCCGTCCTCTCTCCGTCCTCTCTCCGTCCGTCGACGTCGTCTCGCTAGGGTTCCCTCTCGTCGTTCGCCTCGCCTCGCCGACCACGCTCCCTCCCTCCCTCCATCCTTTCCCCTAAACCCCAGGACGCGACGGCGATGGAAACCCAACGCGCAGCGCAAGCGCCTCTACAGCGAAGCTCTGGACGAGCTCGTCCGGGTGAACGTCACAACGTACGCGCTGCGCTGGATCGACAAAGCCGGAGGACTGGACGCGTATTTGCTCAACACGACGCCGCAAAAGCTGATGAGCTACAAGGCGTTGGAGCTCCGGAAGCGCGTGCTGGACGCGAAGGGGATCAAGGAGAGCGAGTGGAAGCGGCCGCCGGGGGGGTTGGGGGGGATTCGACCGCCGCGGAGTCAGAGAGAGGCGGACGCGGCGGCGGCGGCGGCGGCGGACGCGAACGCGTAAAACGAACGAAACGCGTTTCATTTCAATTCTCCGTCGTGGTTCGCGGCTTGATAAGCCTTTGAAAGACTTGACGCTTCTGCTTCTCGATGCGAAGTTCAAGCAAGTCCTTTTCCTCCTTCATGTCCTTCAGCTTCGCTATGGCCTCTTTCGTCTTCCGGTGCTCCTCCGCCATCTCCTCTCGCTCCCTCGCGAGCTCCTGCTCCCGGTCTTTGATCTTCTGCAACTTCTTCTGCAATTTCACAGCCATCTCGTCGCCTCTCTCAGCCGCTCTGTCGATCTCGTCTTCAAGCGCTCTCTCTAACATGTCTTCAAGCACTCTCTCGAGCTCTCTCCCCATGTCGAGCTCTCTCTCAAACATGTCTTCAAACACTCTGTCGAGCTCTCTCTGAGCTTCGTCATCCATCTCTTTCCACTTCTCCGACGCCGACGTGTTCTGCTTTGCCGCCGTCAGCTTCGCGTCCAGCTCGGCGATCTTCGCGTCGAGCTCCTCGGACGTCATCTCCTTCGCCGACGCCGACGCGGCACTCGCGGCGTCCGCCTCGGCGCTCGCCTCCTTCGCTCTCTTAGCCGCGTCGGACGCGCTCTGCTCCGCGTCGGACGCGCGCCGCTCCGCCGCCTCGAGCGCCGCGGTCGACGCCTCCGCGTTCGCCCCCGCCTCGCCCGCCGCCTCGCCCGCCGCCGCCGGCGGCGGCGCCCTCACGTCCTCCGCGTCCTTCGCCGCCGCCGTCGCCTTCGCCTCCGCGGCGGCGAGCCACCCCGCGACTCCCGCCTTCGCGTCCTCCTCCTCTCCGCCCCCCTGAAACGCGTGGTCTTTCAGTTTCAAATACACGCCGCAGTGATCGGACCCGAAGAACGCGTCGTCCGGTCTCTGCTCCAGCGCCGCCGGCTTGTCCGAGTACGCGTCCGTGGCTTGCGCGCACTCGACCGCGGCGCGCTCCAGCCCGTCCGACACGAAGAAGTAATCCAGCCGCATGCCTCTGCCCTTGTATCTCCCTGTCGCGACGACGCCCGGGTGCCCGTACCACGTGCACGCCCTCCGCGCGTCGCCGTGCAGATGGCGGTACACGTCCACGAGCTTCGCGGACGTCACGATGTCGTGGAAGCGCCGCCGCTCGTTGTTCGTGAACCCGGGCTGGCCGCGGTCGTCGACGTCCGGCGGCGTCTCCGGCGGCGGCGCGCCCTTCTTTCCCTCCGGCTTTTGGAGCGCGAAAAACTCCGGGTGCGTGACGTCGCGTTCGGTGTGGCACGCGTTCAGGTCCCCGGTCCACACGATCGGTTTCAGGCCTTTCCCGTCCGCGCGCGTCGGCCGTCGCGGGCGGAGAGAAGACGCGTTCGTCTTCGACGTCGCGTCGTTTGAAGTCGTCGCGTCTTTCGAAGCCGCGCACAGCTGTGCGTCGTCGTCGTCGTCGTCGTCGTCGTCGTCGTCGTCGTCGTTTGTTAAAAACGTCTTCAGCTCCGCGTCCCATCGTCGCCGCTTCGCCATGCTCTCCGGCTTCCACCCGTTGTTCTGCGCGTACACGTTGAGAAGCGTGACGTTCTCGAACTCCAGAAACAGAACCCTCCCCTCCGGGTGCTGCGACGCTTCGCCCGCGCGACGCGTCAGCGACCGCGATGCGCTCTTCACCGGAATGTGCTTCTTGACGAGGACGCCGCACCCCGCGCTTCGCTTGTCGGCGCACGCCCAGTGCGGCTCGTATCGGCTCATCGGCTTCTGGCGCATGAGGAGGTCGATCGCGGACTTATCCGCGCGCGCGGCCTTGTCGTCGTCACGCAGGACGTGGCGCCTGCGAGGGACGGGACGGGACGGGACGTCGGACGGTTGAATGAATGTCAACTCTCAACTCTAGGAAGAGCGGGCGCGCGACGCGGCGACGCGAGGTTCGGATCGGCGACGGACGCGCACCGGTTCGGCCCCGCGCCCGCGAGCCATGTCTCCTGCAGGCATATCACGTCCGGGTCGAGGCGCTCGACGTACTTCAGGAAGCACGCCTTGTCGACCTCGTTCTTCATGCGGCCTGAGGGAGAGACAGAGACGCGTGAGTCGACGAGATCTCTCCTGAGCTGTCTGTCGTCAGGGAGGAAGAATCAAATCTGCGCGCGAGATCCGCGGGGTGCTATCGCCGCGCACCGAGGAAACCGTTCGCGTTCCACGTGATGAACGACGTGGGGTCGCTCTTCGGCTCCGGAAGAGCCTCCCCCTTCGCGCGTTTGCTCGCGTCGAGGGGCGCGGCCGCGAAGAAGCGCTTCATCGCGCGCGCTTGTGTGCGCCATCGCATCGCTCCGTCCGACCGTCGCGTCTGGCTGACGAGCTCAGCCGCACACGGCGCGGAAACCTCGGTTCAAACCGCGCGCGGCGCGGAGAGTCCCCTCCGTCGCACGCGCGCGCGTCGTCGCGACTGCCGTCTCTCGCGTCGTCGTTCGCGTCGTCGCCGATATCGTCGCACGACGGCGGCGACGCGCTCGACGTCGCCGCCGCCGCCGCGCGCGATGCCGCCGCCCGCGCGTCGGCGCGCGCCGTCCTCGCCGTTCGCGACGACCGTCCTCGTCCTCCTCTCGTGCCTCGTCGTCCGCGTCTCCGCGGCGACGGACGCGCTGCGTATGGAGCCGCGCGCGGAGTCCGCCGCGGGAGGAGTGGGCGCGGGCAACGGCGACGGCGACGGCGGGTTCAAGGACGCGTTCTTGTCCTCCGTATCCATGATCCTCGTCTCCGAGATGGGCGACGAGACGTTCATCATCGCGGCGATCATGGCGATGCGCCACCCCCGCGTCGTCGTCTTCTCCGGCGCGATCGCCGCGCTGTCGATAATGACCGTCCTGGGCGTCGCCCTCGGCCTCGTCGTCCCGAACCTGATAAGCAAAGACACCGTGTCCAAGGCGGCGTTCGTGCTGTACACCTTCTTCGGCTGCCGTCTCCTCTACATCGCGTGGAAGGCGGACCCGGCGGCGACGATGCAGGAGGAGGTGTCCGAGGTGGAGGAAAAACTCGGCGGGGGTTTGGGACCGAAACCGCCGGCGGGGCCGCTGCGACGCGCGCTCAATCGCGTGTGCACGCCCATCTTCTTGGAGGCGTTCATCCTGACGTTCCTCGCGGAGTGGGGGGACCGCTCGCAGATCACGACGATCGCGCTCGCGGCGCACAAGGAGCCCTACGGCGTCGTCGTCGGCGGGATCATCGGACACGCGTTTTGCACCGGGTTGGCGGTGCTCGGCGGACGCGTCATCGCGCTGAAGATATCGCAGAGGGTCGTCGCGATCGCGGGGGGGTTGCTGTTCTTCGTTTTCGCGTTTCACGCGCTGTTTTACGGCGCGCCGGGGAGCGACATCACGCGGTGAGCGCGGCGCGGGCGCGGCGCGCGCGGGGAGAAGTCTACCGCGCGATGTCGCGACGCGACGGGCGATCGCGGTCGCGGCGGCGACGTGTTGTTTGTCTGCTAATAAGTTGTCTGATAATATGAACATACTCCGTAGTGCGTGCGCATTCTCGAGCGAACGACGAACGACGTCCCGACCTCGACTCGTATTTATTAGACAGTAATAAGGAGGCGAGCGATGAAGTTCAAAGTTCGTCGTCGGGACCGGCGGCAGCTCGGCTGGACGCGAGCGCGCGCTCGCGCCTCGGCGGCGCCGACCCCCCGCCCGCGGGCGCGGCGTCTAACCCAAAGAATCGTATAAAGAATCAACCCATCACGTGATCGTCATCACCGAATCAACTCCAAACAACCAATCACACGTCTCCACGTGGCGCGCGTCGTCGTCCACGTACCCCTCGTCATCAGTCCGAGGAGGAGCTCACGGACGGCGCGTCCGACACGAGCTCCCCGTCCTTCTCGCCCTTCTCCTCGTGCAACACCGCGATGACCGCGTCCATCGTCTTCATCAAAACCTCGCACTTCTCGTGCTCCAGCTTCATCTCGTCGCCCGCGTCCGGCTTCGCCACCTCCTCCCGCAACATCGCCTCGATGAGCTCGTACTCCTCCCGCACTTTCAGCAGTCCCGCCTCCGCGACGGCGGCGGTGGCGACGACGGACGATCGCATCAGCAGCGGCGGCATCCGTTTGAACTTGCCGTACACCGTCCGCACGAGCTCGACGTCGTCCGCGATGATGCACTCCGCGACCATGCGGAGGTGGACGTCGATGATCGTCGTCGCGGCCTCGAGGCCGCCGTCGTACGCCGCCTGGAACACGTCCACGACGGTGATGTCGTCCAGCGCCTCGTACGTTTTATCCGGGCCGAGCTCCGCCAGCGCCATGATGCGGCCGTTCACGCTCGAGTCCCCGGCGTACTTGGCGCACATGTTCGCCACCTGGATCTCGATCTCGTTCCACGACGACACGTCGTCGTCGGTCACGGAGTTGTTGACGTCCGCGCTGCCGCCGCCGGCGCCCGCGCCCGCGCGGAAGTTGGCATTTGCGGCGACCGCGCCGGCCTCGTCCGTGGCGGAGGAGGCGGAGATCGCGGAGGCGCGCGGCGCGCGCGGCGCGCGACACGCGAGGGGGGCGACGGCGACGGCGCGGGCGGACGCGCCGCGCGCGGAGACGGTCGGCCTCGCGACGGTCGCGCGCATCGCGAGAGAGCTCGACATGATGGGGCGCGCGCGCGAGTTGAAGTGACGACGCGCGCGCCGACACGTCCGGTGACGTCGCTCGCTTTCAGCTCCTATACAGCTGCCAGTTGTCGCGTCGACGGATGAGGCTGTTTGCGAGCGGTGCGTTCTGTGCATTTCACCCACCCTCGGGTTCAACATTTGATCGAGATCCGTTTCAACTACTGACCGATGAACGTATTTTCTCCTCCAGTCGCAGTCGCTCACTTCCGCGTCTTCGCAGCCCCTCTCGCAGCCTTCCCCCCCTTCTTCTTCGCGCCGCCCGCGGCCGCCGCCGCGTCCGCCTTCCCGACGCGCCCCGGCGCGTACTTCGGCACCCACTCCTCCCTGAACCATCCCACCGTCCTCTCCCACGCCGTCTCCGAGTCGACGATTGGCGCGTATCCGAGGTCGTCCCTCGCCGCGTCGCCGTTGAAGTGTCGGTTGATGAGAAGCATCCGCACCGCGAACGTGTTCAGTTTGAGCTTCTTCCCGAGGACGCTCCCGACGCACTCGCAGACGCGCCCGAGCGGGTACATGAACCCCCAGCCGGGGAGCTTGAACTTGGAGAAGAGAGACGGGATGCCTAAGATTTGCACGAGCGCGTCGTCGACGAACCTCCAGAGCTTCACCGGCTCGCCGTCCGTGCAAATGTAAAATTTGCGCAGCGCGGGGGACCCGGGGTACAGCGCGCGCTCGCCGAGGATCAGGCCGTGGCAGTAGTTGTCCACGTAGCACACGCTGACGAGGTTATCTCCTGGTCCGAACACGCGCAGCCGAGACGCGTTGAGGAGAAAGTTGTGAAGAAACAAAAAGTCCCGCGGGCCGTACACCTGATGCGGCGCGACGGCGACCGTGAGGAGGTTTTCCCCATCGCACGCCGCCATGCACGCCTCCTCCCCGCGCGCCTTGCTCTCCGCGTACTCCTGAAGAAATTTCTTCGGAATCTCGAGCTCGCTCTCGCGCTTGCCGTTGATGTCTTTCCCGTCGAACCGCGTGCTCGGCGAGGACGACATCACGATCTTCTTGATCTTGAGCTTCTTGCACGCGTCGACGACGTTCAGGGTCCCCTGGTAGTTCACCTTCATGTACATGTCCTTCGCGTGGTACGGCCCCACGAGCGCGGCGATGTGCCACACGCACTCGCTGCCCTCGCACGCGCGCATCACCGCCGCCGGGTCGGTGAGGTCGCCCTGCATCCACACGACGCGATCGTCGTCTGGAGCGTCCGCGGGGCGGGGCGCGATGTCGAACGCGACGACGCGCTCGGCGCCGCGCTCGACGAGCATCTCGACGAGCCTGCGGCCGACGAAGCCCATGCCGCCGGTCACGGTGCACGTCTGCGAAGGAGGAGAGGAGAGGAGAGGAGATGAGAGGAGAGGAGAGAGAGGTCAGGGATCGATTCCGTCGTCGTTTCGATCCGAATCTTCTGTTCGCGCGAGATCGGAGAGCGTTCGCGTTCGGTCGGATCGATCGGAGGCCGCGCGGCGCGCCTTCGGGACGGGGGGGAACTTGTGCTTGGGAGGCATCGCGATCGGTTCGGACGACGGGATCACGCCGCAGAGGGTGTCTCCGAGGGGGTCGTTCGGGTCGCACTCGCCGCAGGCGCAGACGGGGCGGGGAGGTCGCCGCGACGCGCGCACCATGCACTGACGACGACGCCAGCTTGCACGCGGATGCGGATTTGCGGTCGCGAGCGCAGAGTGCGAGTCTTCGCGCGCGTTCTGTCAGGTTCCTTCCCCCGCGGCGACGGCACTTCCGCGCGCGCCACGCGACGCGTCACGCGCTCGTCGCACGGAATGGACGCCGGCGCGCCCACCCCCGGGGGCGGGCCTCAGAGCACCGCGGACCTCACCACCTTCGTGCGTCCCCCGCGCGCGCGCCCCGCCCGACGGCCGCGACGACGCGCGTCGCGCCCTCGTCGTCCGCCCCCCAGTAGCAGAACGAAGCGACGAACGAATCTCGAATTCGAACGTCGCGTCGCGCGCGACTCATCGACGCCCCCGCCGCCGGCCACGTCGCGCCCCGCGCTGACGCCCGCCTCCCCGTCGCTCCGTCCACCCTCATCAGGTCCAAAACCTCCTCACGCAGATGCAGTCCAGGTTCCAGCAGATGTCGGACAGCATCATCACGCGGATCGACGAGATGGGCGACCGCGTCGACGACCTGGAGAGGTCCGTGGGCGAGCTCATCGCGCAGGCGGATGACGAGGGAGCGACGAACGCCGCGACAAACGCGGAGGGAGGCGACGCCGTCGCGGCGAAGCGGTGACGGCGAGCGAGCGATCGGATCGTGTATCGAGGCGGCGGCGGGCGGATCGCTCGCCTCCTTCGAGGCGTCTCTTAATACCTAGTACGAGTAGATTTACACGCTAGCAGCCTTGCTGAGCGCGAACGCGACAGCCGCCGGCGTCACAGCTCGCCGTCCGGCCGCCTGCCCGTGGCGAAGGATATCTTCTTCGGCCTGGCCTCGCCCCCGCCGCCGTCGGCCTCGCCCGTCGCCGCGGGCGCCTCCGTCGCCGCCGCGGACGCCTCGGACGCCTCGGACGCCGCCTCCGCCTCTCGCGCCGCCTCCGCCTCCGCCTCTCGCGCCGCCGCACGCGCGGCTTCCAGCTCCCTCTCCGCCCGCCTCAGATTCTCCGCGGCCTCCTCTTTCGCCTTCGCCCTCGCGGTCGCGATGAACGCCGCCTTCGCCTCCGCTTCCTCCTTCGCGCGTCGCGCGGCCTCCGTCTCCCGCGCCTCGCTCGCGCGCTTCTCAGCCTCGGCCGCGTCGCGCGCTCTCGCCGCCGCCGCCGCCTCCGCCTCCTCCCTCGCGCGCGTCTCCTCCGCCTCGCGTCGCGACGTCTCCTCGCTCGCCGCCTCCGCGTCGACAGCCTTCTCCTCCGCGGCCGCGCGCGCGTTCGCCTCCGCTTCCGCCCTCGCGCGGTTCCTCTCGATCTGCGCTTTTCGCTCCTCGATGGCTTTTAATCGCGCCGCCTGCTCGCGTTGGTACTGCGCCGACGCCTCCGCGCGTCTCCTGTCCGCGTCTTCCTTTTGCTTCTGCTTCATGCGCTCGATCTCGAGGTCGCGCTCGAGTCTCTCCTTCTCCTTCCGCTCCGCCTCCGCGGCTCGCGCGGCTTCGACGCGACGGGCTTCGAGACTCGCCGCCTCGGCCTCGGCTTCTTCGATCGCGGCGGCGCGCTCGGCGGCGGCGGCGGCGGCGGCGTCCGCGCGCGCGCGCTCAATCTCCGCGGCGTGCGCTTCCGCGCGACGCCGCGCCTCTGCGCGCTCGCGTTCTTTCAGCTCCTCCGCGGCTTCGGCGGCGGCCTTCTCTTCCGCTTCCGCTTCCGCTTCCGCTCTCGCTCTCGCCTCGGCTTCCGCGGCTTCGTTCGTTTCCGGTTCGGGCTCGGGTTCGGGCTCGGGTTCGGGTTCGGGTTCGGGCTCGGTCGCCGCCTCGGGCTCGACGTCCGCGGGCTCCGGCTCCAGCTCCAGCTCCGGCGGCGGCGGCGGCGGCGGCGGCGCCTTCTTCCACCGCGCGAACATCCCTCTCGGCTTTTCCTCCTCCTCCTCCTCCTCCGCCGCCGCGACTTCGCGCTCGTCGTCCGCGTCCACGTCCGCGTCTCCGTACCCCGCGTCGGCGTCGGCGTCGGCGTCGGCGTCAAAAGCAGCCTCGTCCGCCGACGCGGCGGACTCGTAGTAGTCGTGGTGATGCTCGTACGTCGTCTCCGTCTCCGCGTCCGTCTCCGTCAAAAGCCGCTCCTCCGCGACGTCGAGCTCGAGACTTTTCGACTTCTCATCCGCGTCCGCGTCCGCGCCGTCGAAGTCAGGGCCGTTCTATACAAGCGAACGTCGGGGTGGAGTTGAAAGGTGTCAGTTGGCGTTGAAAGGCGTCGAGGGCGGGTATTGAACGCGAGGGGTGGGCGCAGAGATGCGCCGGGCAAAGTCCTTAAGGATCGGCGTTCACATCGCCAACGCGGTCGTATGGGGACCAGTGTATAGAACGCACCTCAAAGTCGCCGTCTCCGACCCCTGCGCCGCCGTCGAAGTCGCCCGGGGACAACCCCTCGGGCGGCTTCGGCGGCATCGCCGCGCCGCCGTCTTCCGGGGTGTATCGATACTTATAGTCCCGCTCGAGGTCGTCGAGGTCGTCGCCGGCGTCGTCGCCGCCGGCGTCGCCGGCGGCGGCGCGTTCCGCGCGTTTCTTCGCCTCTCTCGCTAACCCCGCCTCCCTCGCCGCGATCGCGGCGGCGACAGCCTTACTCCCCGCGGCGTACGCCGCACGCGCGCCAAACTTCATCGCGATCGCGCCGTTCTTCGCCGCCACCGCGGTGTACTCCCTCACGAGCGCGTGCTTGACGTATCCGTACGTCCACGCGCCGAGGAGCGCGAGGAGGAAAAAATAAAAACAAATTCCCCCGAGGACTCCGCCCCGTCGGCCGACCCTCGTGACGCACGCGCTCGCGTCCGCGCTGCCGCTCAAGACGCACGTGCCATCGGTGTTGAACGCCATCGTCGTGACGAATATCATGTGCGAGCTCTTGTCCGTCTTTGTCACCCTCAGCGTCTCCGCGGAGGCGAGATGGAGGTGCCCTTCCGAGGTCCCGACCGCGACGGACGCGCCGTCGGGCGACAACGCCATGGCGCTTATCGGGTCCCTGCACACCCGCCGCGCGCTCCGTATCGTCCACGTGTCCGTGTCCCAGATCACCACGTGTCCATCGCCGTCGACGTTCAGCCCCGTGTACGCGACGTTCGTGCCCTCGGGGCCGAACCCGGCGAATCGAAACGCGCACCGTCGCGCGTTGGGCGCGCGGGTCCATCGCAACGCGCGCACGCGCTCGCCGCTCTGCGTGGACCACACCGCCGCGCCGCCCTTCCCGTTCCCGTCCTCCCCGCGCGCGTTCGCCGCCTCCGCGCTCGTGGTGAGGATGAATCGCCCGTCCGGGGAGAAGGCGAGGCCGGTCACCGCGTCGGCGTGCGCGTCGAGCGTCGTGAATTTCATCTTGAGCGACGGCCACGCGACGACGCGGACGCGTCCGTCCGCGAGCCCGAGCGCGAGGGTGTTCCCGCCCGCGGTGAACGCCGCGGACTTGATGTCGACGTCCGCGAGGGCGACGCGCAGCGCGGCGCCGTAGTCGTCCACGCGCGATGGCGTCAGTGTGATGGGCGACGGCGGGAGGGATCCGTCCGCCGGTCGTCCGCCCATTCGCACGCCGGGGCCGCCGGGGCCGCCGGGGCCGCCGGGGCCGCCGGGGCCGCTCGCGCCCGCGGCCTCGACGTCGAAGACGCTGACGTCGCCGCCGAAGATGCACAGCAGGTGCTTCTTCGTCGGGTGCATCACGAGACCGGTCGGCGCTTGCTCGTCCGTGTGCGCCCAGTGCAGAGGCTCCGTGAGCGTCGCGCCGTCGAACGTCGCGACCATGACGCGGTTGGGAATGCCGCTGCTCCGCTTGCCGCCGCCGCCGGCGACGATTAAGCATCGGTGGTCCGCCCACGCGGAGGCGTAGAGCGGGGCGCCGAACTTCTTCACGTTCGGCCCCGGGGGTTTCTTCTTGCCCATGGCGACGGGGACGAGGCCGGCGCGTGGAAGACTGTGGAACGAAGAATCGATGTCAACGGCCGGGCCGAGAAGGACGCTGACGACCCAACCCTCGGCGAGGGTTGCGTCAAACATCGTCGCGGACCTGATCAGTGATCACCGCGCGCGCCGGCGTCGCGTACATGCGCTGTCTGTCTTCGCCGAAGCTCGACCAACTCGAGGAGGACGAACGCCTCGCCGCGAAGTTCACCGCGACCGCGAAGCACGCCGCGCCCGCGTCCGCGGCGGAGAGCAGCGCGAAGAATACGAAGGGTGGAGGGACGATGCATCGTTTCGGCCCGCCCGAGGAGAACGGCGACCGCCGCGCGCGCTTCAACGCGTCCGACGGCCGCTACGCGCTCGCGAAGGAGTGGACCCCGCCGTCCGGTCCGGTCCCGTTCAACCCGGAGGGCTCGACGCGCGTCACGCTCGCGACCCTCCCGGGGGTGAAGCAGCACCGATGCCTCCTCTTCAACGTCGGCGACGCGCTCGTCGTTCGAAACTACGACGCCGCGTCCACGTCCGAGCCGATCCGAATCCTGTGCTTCCCCGGGACGTTCGTGACGTGCCACGCGCACCGCCCCTGCCCCGCGTCCTCGCCGGACGCCAGGGACCTCCTCCTCGGCCTCGCGAACGGCGAGGTCCACTGCGTGAGCCTCCGAGGGCTGATCCGAGAGGGCGGACGCGGCCCCTCGAGGACGCTTCCGTCGGGCTCGCTCAAGTTCAACTCCGACGGCGGCGGCGGATGCGGCGGGAGCGCGGTGGCCAAGTCGGCGCACCTCGCGAACGCGCCGCGGTGCAACGACGTCGCGTGGAACCCGGGCAGCGCGGGCGGGTTCATCTCCGTGCACGCGGACGGGAACGTCTACGCGTACTTGGACCCGGCGCTGGACGCGGGCGCGGATCCGAGGTTTCCGCCTGTCAAGGGCGACGTGTCGAGCGTCTCGGTGACGCCCGGACGGACGGAAGGGAGCAACCCGTTCGCGCGGTGGCACCTCTCCGGCGCGCCTCTGACCGCCGCGGCGTTTTCTCCGCCGGAGCGCGCGGGCGGCGGCGGCGGCGGGGGTCAGGTGCGTCCTATACACTGGTCCCCATACGACCGCGTCGGCGTTGTGAACGCCGATCCTTAAGGACTTTGCCCGGCGTGTCTCTCCGCCCAGCCCTCGCTTTCAATCCCCGCCTTCGACGCCTTTCAACTCCACCTGACGCCTTTGAACTCCACCCCGACTTTCGCTTGTATAGAACGGCCCTCAACGGTGCGCCGTCGTCGGCCTCGACGGGCTCTGTCGCGTCTTGGACGTGAGAGACTGGGAGCGCCCGTCGCTCGTGGACGGGTTCAAAGGATACTACGGAGGTCTCAACCACGTGTGCTGGGCGCATCGCGGGAAGTACATCCTCGCCGGCGGCGAGGCGGACATGATCGAGGTGTGGAACGTGAGAGAGCGCGCCGTGGTGGCGTGGGCGGAGGGTTTGAACTCGTACGCGTTGCGATGCGCCGCGGACGAGATCGCGAGCGCGGCGTTGACGCGAGGCGTCGGCGTCGGCGGCGGGCGGAGCGACGACGACGACGACGCGGACGCGGGCGACGACGGCGACGCGACCATCGGCGACATGGACCTCGGCGACGGCGCTTCTGAACGCGCGCGCGGCGCCAGCGCCGGCGCCGGCGCCGGCGGCGGCGACTTGCTGCACGAGATTGAGCCCGTGGAGACGTTGCGATTCGGCGCCGTCGGCGCGGACTGCGCGCTGTGCCTGTGGGACCTCCCCGTGGACGGCGACGACGACGGCGGTGACGACGACGACGACCGCGCGGGGGTGCCGTTCTCCGGGGACGAGATGGAACTCTCCCAGCGACCCGCCGCGCCCTACGCCTTCGGCGGCGACGCGAAGCCGCCGCTCCCGGTGCCGCTGCCGCGTCTGCCGCCGTCGTCCGGGGACGACAAGCCGCCGTCACGGCCTCCGTCGCGCTCGCCGTCGAGGGCGGGGGCTCCTCTCCGACCGGATTCGCCGTCGTCCGTGATGAGCCACGACGTCGCCGCCGGCGCGGCGGACGGCGCCGGCGCCGGCGCCGGCGCGGCGGACGCGAACGAGAGCGACGACGACTTCGTCGTCGCGACCCTCGCCGCCGCCGACGACGACGACCCGCGGCTGCCGTCCATCTTCGCGTACGTCGGCGTCGGGCAGGTCATCGCGCCGTCGGCGTGCCGCGGCGACGTCCACAACCGCCTCTCGCCCGTCGTGTCGCGGAAGCTCCACGACGAGCCGACGACGGAGGTGCTCTTCAACGCGGACGGCGTAGTCACCGCGTGCGCGGGGGGGATCGTGAAACTGTGGGCGCGGCCGGGGGGGATGGATCAGGAGTGAAGCGAAGCGAAGCGAAGCGCGCGGTGACGCGACGGACCCGGACGCGATGCGACGCGGATCGACGCGACCGGCGCGCGAGCAGGCGCGGCTCCGGGCTGAAAAAAAAACCGACCGGGCAAGACCGACCGACGGCGGCGCCCGGGACGTCTTGGACCCGACGACGTTTCCCACGAGCGAACTTGGAGAAACGGTTCGAACGGTTGTATAACGGTTCGAACGCTCGCGTTTCGTCTGCGATTTCCACTCGCGGCGGCGGAGGGGCGCGCGCCGCGGCGACGGTCCAGGTGACGATCTCTCCCCCGCCCGGGAGGGATTGCCGGGGGGATCGCACGCCGCTCGCGAATCGCCAATCCTTCCGGAAAGATACCGGCGGCGGCGGCG